AGGGACATACAATTATAAGAAACTTCGTAGATCACACTTTTAAAACTGGCCAAATAAGATGTCTTTTTAAAAATATAGAGTGTTAGGATAAAGAAATATCCTTCTGAATGATTAATTTTCAGGATTTAACTTTATGTCAACTGGATTTCAATCACTTGATGCATAAAAAGATTCACTGTGATTTTAACTTCACAGAAGTAGGTCCTTTGAAATCTGAAGTTCTGCGACCCGTCTTCTAACGTAATTCTTGGGTATCTTTTAAGAAAGTGATTACCATTTGTAGCAAGCTACATTGACCCCAGCAAAAACAAACTTAGCACAACATTAGGAAAATGAAACTGCTAGAGACCAATTCAGGGATTAAAGTTCGAAGCTAACCACCACCCCCGCCCCTCTTAAAGGATGCAAGATGAACAAGAGATAGAGGACATCCTATAAAATTCCCTATCTATTTGATGAGAGGACAAAGGCTAGACTGAATCCCAGGTTAAATGGCAAGAAAATGTCTTAGTCATTACCCTAGGTCCGGGATGGCAAACCTGTGGCCACAGGTGGTACGCGGAGCCATTTGTCAGGGTAAGTGAGGCGTTGCTCTGTCAGCTGGCCAGTGCACATGCGCGTGCTGGCAAGCTGAGTTCAGCCTTTTTAAAAGCCATTTTTCACCCTCCCTAGTCCCCAGAGGCTTTATAGGAGCCTGGGGAGGTTGAAAACAGCCTCCCCCGTCCCCCCCGGAGGCCCTCCATAGGCTTCAGGAGCTTCCCTGAAGCCTCCGGAATGCAAAAAAACGGCCCTACGGGCAAACCGAAAGTTTGGGAACGGACTTTTGGTTTGCTTGTAGGGCCGGTTTAAGCCCTCCAGAACCTTCAAAAGCCTTCTGGGGGCTTCCCTGAAGGCTCAGGAGGATGAAAAATGACCGTACGAGCAAACTGGGGTGGGGTGGGGAAGCTGTTTTCGCCCTCCCCAGGGTCCTATAAAGCCTCTGGAGCCTGGGGAGGGTGAAAAAAGCATGCAAAAATGGGGGGGGAGGAGTGCCTGTCATGCGCACATGTGCACTGGGGGGTTACACATTGCATTTTGGGTGCGGCACGCCCACGCCCAAACTCCCTGCGCTCCCCCCACTTATGGCGCGTGAGCCAAAAAAGGTTCGCCATCGCTGCCCTAGGTCCATCCCAGTTCCAGTGAAGACTCCCTAAATGCGAGTGACTTTGCTGACAAAACATTGTGCTAACTATCAGTACAGCTATGTGGGAGTAGGGGACGAAAATATGAAAATGCTCCACTTTGAAATACACCCAAACGGATTTGGTCTTTAGCATTCTCAACTAGAACTCTAGGAATCACTTCTGCTGAGATTTCCTGAAGGATTCGCCCAGTTTGTCCAATGGAGGAAGGCAATTACTCCAGAATAAAAACAAGGCTAACATGTGTTTATGTGGTTCATGTCCACAGAGGATAAACTCAGTGAAGCCATAAACTCTTGGGCCCTATTTGGCATAGTCCCTATCATAGCATACTGCCTGCCACTAAGAAAAAGCTCAGAAGTGCTACAGTCTCTTGACAAGCGTCATTAATTTTGTAAGAGGTGTGTACATTTACTCAAAACGTGAACTCTACTCACATGGAGGAAGTCTAAAACGCCATTAACTTGGTTTAAGCAAGGTCCAAATTGCCCCCATTAAAAATCAAATTGCACCACATTGGGAACCACTGCTTTAGACTTAGTTTTAGCAAAACGTTTGCATTTAAATGTTCTACAATAAATATATTGGTTCCTTATTTCATCTCCCCCCNTACCCCTTCATTATCTCTCCTCCTTCTTCCTTCAGTTCCTGCTTTTCTGAGTTCAGAATTCTATTTAGACTTGATTTTAATGATTTATGCATATTTTTAATAATCTCACGTTCAAATTCCCACCTTTCCATAATGTCCAGTTCCAAAGTTACAGTTAATTATACAGTTCTTATTTCAGAGTTTTGGTCCACCTTAAATTTAGCTAGTTCAACTGATGTGGAGAAGAAGAGCGCCGGGAGCCATCTTAGTCTTTTGTTCTTCCTTAACGCCCAGCTCCAAAATTGCAGTTAGTTATACAGTTCTTATTTCAAAGTTCTGGTCCACCTTAAATTTAGCTAATTCAGCTAAAGTGAAACAGAAGAGAAGCGGGAACCTCTTGATCTTTTGCAAAGAAAAAATACTTCGTATTTTCCCAATTCTTGATTTTATTATATTCCCCCCCCCCTTGTTACCTTCCACCTCTTGTTGGTTATAGTTGTTCAAAATATATTAATTGGAATAAACTTGGGGTTCTGATCCAAAAAGGATCTTGGAATTGGTTTGTCAGACAGGGTTCATGTGAGGCTCTTCACAGGTCACCCCCTCCCCCCATGTCTGTTCAGTTGGAGAACTTCTGGTTGAATCAAGGGGGTGGTGTTTCTGTGTGCTCCTGTTTCTTTGTGGCATTCTCCCCTCAATTTTAGTGGCCACGGCTGTCCCCTTCTCCTTTTCCTTCTCTGCTGCTGGGCGATCCTGTGTGAAGAAGGGGGCTAGCAGAGAGGGGAGAGTGCGAGGTTGCTGCTTCTGGGATGAGGGGGCCCAGGAAGCTTCTGGATCTTTCTTCCAAGCCCTCACCGGAAACCCCTGGATTCCCTCCCCAACTCTGCCTGTCCCATACAGGTACCACCCACACAAGTGATGAAAAGTTGGCCACGCCCACTCAGTCACATGACATCCCCCCCCCACCATACCCACCCAGCCAGTCATTAGGGCAGATAACCGGTTGTTAAAAAAATTGGAGCCCACCACTACCCAGAAATATTGGCAGTTCAAATGATCGCCCTATGATGCAGCAGCAGAATACATTATTGAAATATATTGTATGCCAAAAATACCAGAGAATAGACTCATTTCACTAAGAGTCTATTCTGAAGACTGTACTTATAAATATGCCTCTCTGCAGCCATACCTCATTCTTTTACAGATTTAAGATCAAATCTCTTGCAGAATTCCACATGGCCTAAACCTTATTTTGGGGTCTTCTTTTCCACACTCACATGGAGCTGTCTCTGATCTTGACAGGTGGAAAATAACTTTACACATTACCTTGCCATTTCTTTGGTAATGCAGCCCATTGCCAGTTTCATATGCTGTTTCGTATAACTATCAGTTGTAGTCTATACTTTAATATAGCGGCTTCGATATAAGCTTTAGCTTCAAATAGACCAAGACAAATAACTATAAGTAACTTTGCATTAGTATATAACTAGTAGGCAGACTTTAAAGCATGAAAACAAATCTATTTGTAGACTGGAATAAAGATATCAGGCATTCTGTGTTGATACTGAGCATATTGGTGAACGCTGAAGTTTGGTATAAGATACCAAATAAGTTCTAATGGACAATGGGTATAAACCAGTCAAACGTAAATATATCTGTTGGATATATTACAACATATTCCATTTTTAATAGTGTGAAAGCAACTAACATAGAAAAGTAGAGACAGAAAACTGATTATTTTTAAATTCAAAGTATGATGTAAAGTACACATGGAAAAAATCAGGGTGGATAAAATTATACCACTAAAAATTCCCTAGAAGAATTAATTCATCCTATAATGAATTCTTTATTCATATTGTTTGATTTTACACAAGTAATTCTTTTCAAAGCTTGCTTTGAAGATTTTTTTTTTCTAATGGTTCCAAACCAAAAAATTATTTATGCAAAACAGTATTTGTTTGGCCAGTAATTTTTATTGTTTCGTTTGATGATTTTTGAGTTAAGATTCATAGATCTGGGGATAATATTTTTCATTTGTTTTCTTTATAAATATGCCTTTGAAGTTCCAGACCTTTGTACAGTTTTTGCATCATTACAGCTTCATAATGGTTTTATGCTGCTACTAGACTGCTGAAGCATTCTGTTTCCATTTTAAAAAGTCAAAAAGAAAATAAGAGCATGCGTTTCCCAAATTAAATCTGTATGTTATTAATTTGGTGTTATAAACAATCTTCATTTTACAGTGGAAGAAAAAATAAATAAAGCATTCACAGCAAGCCATGATGTCACAAAAATGACAGCGAGCATATGATGATGGCCTGCCAAATTCTGCCATTATATATTTGTTCCAATATCTGATACAAACGCATAAATTGCTGTATTTGGTTCATGATGAATGTTTTGTCGCTTTCCCACGTTCCCCTGTTGGTTTCCACGTATCTGATTAATATTTCCATAGCCTCTTCATACATGTTGAGGCATGTACAAAATGGTTGGGGCTTCATTTGCCATGCCACAATCATCTATTGCCTTTAAAATCCCACACCACATTGTATGCATTGCTAATTGCCAGTAAAAGAAGTACATTAAAAGGCACTTTCAAAAACTTTTTCTCCCAGACATTGTCTTGTGAATTTTGTAGTTATATCCTTTTTTTTAATGATTTTTATTAACAA